ATTGAATAGTAAGCGAATACCAATCGTGATTGAATCAATAGGCGTTTTAATAAAATTTCTATTAACATTCTAATAAAAAATCTACTAACATTCTAATAAAAAATCTACTAAAATTCTAATAAAAAATCTACTAAGACCAGTAATGTGCGAGCTACATTTTACAGGGGGGGGTGATTTTTCAAAAACCAAAAATTCTCTAATAAATCAAACAAATTTTCGTTTTTTTTTTTTTTTTGGAAGTCACTTTTTGAGGCGAAAATCCCTAGCAAATCGAAAGAATTTTCTCCGCGAAAAACCTTAGCAAATCTGAAAAAAATCTCTCGGAACCAAAAACCCTAGCAAATTTAAAGAATTCTCCTCAATTTTCTACATTGATGAGCTAAAAAAAAAAAAAAAGATCTTCACTTTTTTCATGAAAAACCCTAGCAAATTCGAATAATTTTCGCGAAAAAATTTTTCTCATCCAAATCACAGGGGGGGTAAACAACCCCCCTTCGCACATTACTGACTAAGACCTAATAATTAGTAGTTGTTAGTAGCTAGTAAAATAATAATTATTACTTCTTAGTGGCTACTAAGAATTACTAAATAATAAAGTACTAATGGAAAAAATCTACTAACTAATAAGAATTTTTATTAATTATTATTTATTAGTTACACCAATGCATCAATATTCGTCTTTTTCTCAACAAATCATTCAACCTTCCTGAAGCAAATGTATACTTTTTCATCACCAATGAGTAATTGAATGAACCATCACCTTCCGCTGATCGCTCCAATTGAAATGCGTTACGGAAATCATGCCAAGCTTTGTTGAGTAACATTAAATGCGTTTGCGCTGTCCCCTGCGTTGCGTCCTCATTCAACTCCATGACGATGTTGATTGTGTCCATCAAGTCTTGGTATTGTAACGAAAAAGAAATGGATGCGTTCATAGATTCGTCGTTTTTTGCTTTATTGTTTTGATTTGATGAATCAGAAGCATTCGATCTAGTTTCATTGTTGCCACGGTTCTGATCTTCTTGATTATTAGTTGATGGTTCAGCGAATTGATTTTGGTTTTGGCGATCATCGTCTGTCCCATTGATTACGTCATTGTTCGTTGATCGTTCACCGTCTCTTTTTTCAAATGTGTCGTCGTTATCATCTGTCATTTTGCCTGTTAGTTCCATATTAATTTTTTCGATGACTGCGTTGAACAATGTTTCTATCTGAGCGAATGTTTTTTGAGCCCAATATGGCTGTTCTGCATTCATCCATGGATCTAGTTTTTCGTCGGTTCTTTTGATTTTGGCAAATAATGATTGAAAAACCAACAGTCGTTCTTCCAAATATTGCGTTGTTATTCTTGCCTTTGGCTGTTTTTTGAAATTGGCAATCAGTCAATTTAACTCTTCGATGTCAACTGACTGTTGCTTTAATAAAGATTCCATTTTCGCAATTTTACACTTTTGTTTAAATTTGAATTAATTTCAGCACAATGCTTTACTGTTCTGTTTTTTTATCTAATGTGTAATTTGAACACAATGTGTCCTTTTCACTTTTTGTATATCGTTATCGTCGTTTGTGCTATCGAGCTCAAATTCGAATTAATCTTTATTTTCAATTTTAACTGTGCTATCCAGCATTCTTTTTGCTATCGAGCAATAAAATCACTTTGCTATTTGAGCAAAAAAAAGTCACTTGCTATCGAGCAATAAAATCACTTGCTATTTGAGCAAAAAAGTCACTTGCTATCGAGCAATTTTTCATCAATTCGTTGATTCGAAGGACCAAACCAACTACAAGTTAGAACAAAGTGGTTGGAAATTGAGTCATCGCCTAAATTGAATGATTTGGTATTGATAAAAGATGAAAATTTGCCTCCGACATTATGGTCGGTGGGTCGTGTAATGCAAAGTCATCCAGGTTCGGATGGTCACGTTAGAGTGGTGACTTTGAAAACCAAAGAAGGCCAACTCAAACGTCCTAATACAAAACTATGTGCATTTCCTCATAACAATAATGATATTGTTAATGATTTGGAAGACGCAAGGAAAATATCTTCAAATGTTGCATGTGCTAAAATTGTCAAAAAGAAATCATTTGGAATTTTACCAATTCTTACGGCTTTTTTATCTCTTTTCGTTACATTTTCTCATCAGACGCCATTAAATGACGCTTTAACGATTACTCATTTCAACTCTTCTTCTGGTCTTTATTTTGAAAAAATGTATGATATGCACATTGTTGGTGCAAATTGGAATGTTTTGGCTTTTGTTCATTTGGGAACACTTCGTTCCGAATTTATATCATTACAAACAAACGTTCAAACCGTCAGTAGCCTATGTCGTACAAAATTGGAAAGTCGATCTAATTGCGTTAACATAGCGTCACATCTCAGAAAAAGACTTGATACAATGGGCGAGAAAAATGGCTTGATTACTCATCAGCATCGTACAAAACGTGCTACTTTGGATTTTGTTGGTAATATTTTGGATGATGTATTCGGTTCTTTGGGCCCACGCTTTAAAGAACGATATGAATCAGACATGAGATTGTTGATGAAAAATAATGATGACGTTTTGTTTTTATTGAAAAATCAAACATCAATTGAAGAGTCAACGTTAAATGTATTGAAACATCATGATGATGAATTAGCGAAACAATCAAAAATTTTCAACGATTTAGTTGATCAGGTGCGTGATAAAGTCGATTTAATTGAAGACGAGCAAAATTTCAATGATATTGTACTGCACATACAACAAATTATGTCCGAATACGAGAGACAACAAGACACTATCATTCACGTGGTAGCTGACTCACACAGAAATTTATTGAATCATGGCATTTTATCTATTTCACAAATGGCCAAACAGGTTGAATTAATTAAAGATCAAGTTGGTATGAAATTTATGATTCCGAGCGGTGTTGACATATTTGCAATTAGTGAAGTTATGCCTTTCTTGGTGGGTAATCAATATATTTTCAAAATTGTAATTCCGCTTTTAAAGCCGGATTTATTTGGAACCTATCGTATTTTTAAAATTCCAATAAGACAAAACGAGAAATTTTTATGGATTCAATTAAACTCGCGTTTTTTACTTGCATCGAATGACCGACAATACTATCAATTAGCTGATGATTTGGATATTTTTAATTGCAATAGATATAAGCAAGATGATTTAAGAGTTTGTAATGGACCAAGAATGTGGTTTCCTTCATTAAGTTCAAATTGTGTATGGGATATATTTAATGAAAATTCATTTGGAAATTGTAGATTTAAGCGTGGTGAAATGGAGAACACATTCATCACAGCGGACGGCAGTACGCGCGAGTGACGAAACCACATTAGTGTGTTGAAAAGTCGAACTCGCTATATATACACGTAATATACGAAATCCAGACCTAGAAGGCCGTTGGCCACGGTTGATGTATGGTTGGAAAGCCCTTAGGCTGATCAAGAAAAAATATCAAAGTTTGAAAATCGGTCCACCTGTCTTCAAAATATGGTCCTTTCAAGAAAAGGGTCAAAATTCAGTTTCATGACCATAGATGGCACTAAATGAGGTCATTGACCCCTAAAACATCAATATTCGGATTCTGGAGCTCAATACCTTTCCAACGATACCTCGAACGTCGAAATAGGTTAATCCGTTCGAAAAATTTATTATTTTAAAAATTTCATATGAATTTCTATGAAAAATCAAAATGTCTGTGTGTCTGTGCGCAATTTCGCGTAGTTGTTTCTGATCTTTTTACAACTTTCTGTGATTAAAGTACACAAAAAACTAAGACTTTTTTGTTCCGGCCTTTTTCGATTTGGCCGCCATGTTGGCCGTGGCCGGCCTCCAAAAGTCGCTTTTTGACTTTTGTCCCTACAGACACCAAGGAACATCCACTTGACACACTCCGGACATATGCATGTCGTTGGAAAGGTCTTAAAGCCAGCTATCGAATGATGTCATTAGCGGTCCAAAAATTTCAAATTGGAGTGGCCAAATTGGCCAAAAACCAAAAAGTTACCGTTCGGCCGGACACATAACGTCCATTACCTCGAAAACAAGCTCAAGGATTTTTTTGAAAATTTCACCGATTTTAGGCCCAAGTCTAAGCTATAATATGCCGCATAGCTCATATCCCAGAAAATTCTTGTTTTCAAGATATGACCTTAGGTACTGCAAATATGGCCAAAAATGGCCAAAAATGACAAAAAATGAGAATTTTAATATTTGAAATATTTTATGGGCAAAAATGTACTCCAATGGCTCTGTAAAGAGCATATCTGTGACTAGCCAAACAAAATTGAACAAAATGTCGACCGTTTTGGATGGCTATTCCACCAAAAATCGGCCAAATGTACCAAAATTCGAATTTTCACAAAAATGTCTAGATGTATGAAATATGAAATGTTAACAACAAATAACTACATGATTGATACTTTTCTCGCATAAGATCGATAAAATACCGAATTTTATGTCCCCTCCCACCAGACCAGAAGGTGGACTATCATCGGGAGAGGTGCATGCGGTTAGTAACAAATGAAATTAAAAGAAATCTACAAAAATGTTAGTATAAATGACAAACTATGCAAAAGTTCATACAAAAATGGCCATTATTTCATACGGTCGCTGTGGGACCTAGACTTGACATAACCAGGACATATGAACCGTTGAGAAATATAGATACCTTCAGTAAAGTTAACCATAAAACTGCAACATGTCTATACATTTTTGGTGACATGGTTAACTTTACTGAAGGTATCTATGTTTCTCAACGGTTCATA